GACCAAAAGGAGGACAGTTGCAACAACCACCTCCTGGGAAAAGTCGAATTCCTGTCTCTGTGAACCCTTGTGCTATGGTTCATCAACGAGCATGTCTTTCTGGTACCACAAGCCCAAACCCTAGTCTACCCGTGAAGGCTACCACTGAGAGACGGAAGAGAAGGAAAATAAAGTCATTAACTAAACTTCCTAGTCAGGCTGACGACTGTCATACATATGGTCTCACCGTAGCTAAGAGGGATACTGCCTTTGAGTGTAACATCTGCAATAAGTGGGTGCACAGTCAGTGTGATGAGGACATACCAGACCAACATTACACCCTCATGGTGCGCTACCAATGCACGTGGTTCAGGTACCTCTACTCACAGTGCCGTACAAGGTCACTCTTTTCTAAAGACTCGCTGATGGAGGTCGTAAAAGACACCGCAGTGACTACTGTGATGCCGGCACCCACACAGACCACTTCCCCTGGCCCAAACAGCAAGAGTGTCAGCACTGTACCCCGGCCATTCACACCGGTTAATAGTTCAAAAAGACCAAAACGACGACCGGGTACGTGGCCAACTACATTAGTCACTAACCCTGAAGCCACTTTAACGGCTAACCGCACTGTACAACGGGAAAAATGGGTGACAGTGGAAAAGAATGTGCACCCTTCCCACAAAAACCACCCACATTACACGAAAATAGAGAAGCTGATGACAGATCGAATTCCACCACCTTATTTAACGTCCCCGTGTGCTGTGGTAGTTTCCTTGAGAACAGAGAATCTTTTGACAAGCAGCAATGGGAAACCGTATGCACCACACTAGGACTGGGTAGCCCAGAAGCAAATCTGTGCAGGCCCTACAGAGGCAACTGCTCACCTCGTGGAAGGCCTCCACCAATGAGAGTTGCCCTGGGCTCGGCTAAAGAAGCGGGAAGTATTTTGCTGATGTCACACACACTACTCATCAACAGGTCATCCAGCATTAGAGCCAGGCCAGGCCGCCCTTGGTCAGCAAGAAAAGTATCTCGCGAAGCACCTCAAGCTCTGCAACCAACAACTATGGTTGTCCACGGTATACCGGAACTGACAACCGGCACAGTAGTAGAAAAGTATACTCGCGACGTCCAGAAATGAGATTGGTTTTTAGAAAGGATGGGGTTAGATGGGATAGCAGCGGTAGCGGTCTGCAGACTGCCATGTCCATCACATCCGACGACGATGACAGCACCCCGGTTGATGGCTGTTAACTTCAGCTGTCAAGAACTTTTAACCAGTGTACTGCAAACTTGGTACACGGCAAAAGATAACATCAGAGGGAATGTTCGCTGCTGTGAAAGCAGGCCCAGGACACTGCGACAACAGCAGATGGCAGCACCGCCCACCGCTGAAGTCACCATCACTGTCAACAGACAAGGCGTAAGAGCAAGCCTAGACTCTATCAAACCCCCAGAAACCATTGTAAGAAAAAACGTGATTGAGCCGGTTCCACTGCAGCTGGCCGTCCTATAGCAAGTTACGCCATCACGCACGACTCCCTCCATTCTGCCAGCAACAAGATGCCCCATGTCATCAGAAACATAGCCAAGTGTCTTTACGGTGATGTGAGGGGACTTGGAAGTAAAATGGGGGAATTACGATTTCTCTGTTCCCACTTTGCTCCAACAATCATAATGCTGACAGAAACTTGATTATCGTCGCACATTGGTGGTGTCGAAGCTAGTATAGACGGTATGCGCCTGTGCAGGAGAGACAGTGACTTTAAGGAAGGGGGCGGAGTGGAGATGCTTATAAGTGATAATCTTAAAAGTGAACGAGCAACTGAAACTCTACTCTCAGGGCTCCCAGACTCCATCTGGTGTCAATTTTAGGTTGGACACACCAAGTACTTGGTAGGAGGCGTCTACAGAACACCTACTAGCAGCGTGGAAGATAACCGACAACTGCTGCAAGTAATTTCCCAAGCGACGTCCACCGGATATGACCAGGTCGTTATAACCGACGACTTTAATGCTCCGACTGTCAATCTTGGGCAGGATAGAGGAACCTCAAGCGAAAATTCGACTGGAACCTACTCAACACTATCAAAAAGGCTGGGCTGCGCAGGAATATTGGTGGTGACACCGGCTGGGGGTCGGGCGGAAAGCCGTCCAAACTGGACTACCTTTTTACCAGTGACCCACTGCTGGTAGAAAATGTACAAGTTCAAACCCCCCGTCAGCAGCAATCACGGCGTGGTAGTGTTCAATCTGGTACTCAACGAACAACTCTCATGGGAGGGATCGAGTCCTTGTCTTTGCTACAACAAGATGAACAACGTGGCGATGAACCAACATCTGTCGACAGCACCATGGCCTCAGGGGTGAAGCAACCTGTTGATTGACCAACATTGGGAACCAGTCAGAGACATCATCAAGGGGGCTGTCTCGGAAAACATCCCAGTAATCATAGCAATACTGCGGGAGCGAACCTCATGGTTGAAGCGAGGCACTGAACGCTTTTTGAAAGCCAAGAGGAAAGCATGGCACAAGGGGAGGACCTTCCAGAAAAGAGTCTGACCACACCCTGTAGATTGCCATAGGAACTCGGTGTAACTTTGGAGTGAGGGGAGACAGGAGGTCATTCCAGACGAACCTCGCTCAAAGGCTCGAGGCAAATCCCAAAAACCTATATCGGTTTATGGCAGGCAGAAAATCCACCAGCCAGGTGGCTTGCTTACTGAAAGGCCTGGACGTAGAGAACCTCTCCGGACCAGAGATTGCCGAAGCCTTTAGTGCCACCTTCGATACGCACCTCAATACCTCCCTATCGAACCAAAATTGCCAACTGTCCGACCGAAATTCAGCACCACCAAACGCAGTAGAGTTACCTGTAATAAAGGTTACCCCTGCTATGGTCGTCGAAAACTGTCGAAGCTCCGCGCACGGAAATCACCAGAGTGTGTTGAAATTCGACCGGCTGTGCTGAAACAATGTGCGGGTGCCTTGTGAGGCCCGCTGTGCAACTTGTTTCAACACTCCTTAGACGATGACATGCCTCCATGAGAGTAGAAGAGTGCTATTCTGTCCATCTTCAAAGGTGGAGACGGGCAAAACCCAAAATGCTACCAACCCATAGCCCTCCTACCAGTGGTACCAAAAGAAATGGAGAGTCTGGTAGGCAACCATGTCAGGGAGTACTTGGAAAAGAGGGGAGCACTTAGTGATGCTCAACATGGTGGTAGGTGATAAGTGGACGGCATGCTGGGACCTCCGAATTCCTGTCCACGTTATTTTCCTGGATTTTACTGAAGCCTTCTACACAGTTCCACACACTGCTCTTATTCACAAAAAAGAAAGGTTAGGCATCAAAGGACAAGTGCTTTCATGGTTGCAGGACTATGTAGACGGTAGGCAATTCTGCACAAAAGCCAACAGAGTTTGCTCAACTTGGAGGACATCACCATCTGGCGTACCACAAGGGGCGATTCTGGGTCCACTGCTATTCCTTCTTTTTGTGAACGACCTCCCACTGAATCTCAACTCCCCAATTCTACTCTACGCTGATGATGTTAAGCTATGGAGAGCTGTGATATCAGAAACAGAATCAAGTGCACTGCAAAGTGATCTCAGATTACTTGCAGAGTGGGTGGATATTAACGGACTTGCATCAAACCTAGATAAATGCCGAGCCATGTTTCTGCGCACCCAGACTCTCAGGAGGTACCCTATTCTCTCTGTGGAACACAACTCTCCCACACCACCACAGAGAAAGACCTGGGACTAACACTAACTGATAAACTAGACACTAGCCCCGATTATCCAGGAGATGCCTCCAGAGCCTACGCAGCACTGCACTTCACGTGCAGACAGTTGGGTGCCCTGACCCCGGAACTCTTTTTGAAGCCGCACGAGACCTATATACGACCCCACTTTGAGGTGCACGACGTCAATGCACCACCATGTCTGAGAAGAGACGTGAACCTCATGGAGAAAGTCCAAAGGCGAGCTATAAAGGGTGTCGTGGGAATGAGGCAAAAACCATATCAGGACAACCTGAAAGATCTGGGGCTCTTCTCCCTAGGCTACCATAGATTGCGTGGTGGCTTGATGATGGCTTACAAAATACTCAGTAACCCAAGTCATCCGAACAGTGGAGTCCTACCGATCGGCTACTATGGCGATCCTCGTGGTAACCCAAGGAGAGTGGCTCACCAAAGAGCGAAAACCCGTGTGCGATCACGCTTCTTCTGTCCGCGAGTTTGCGGCCACTGTAACACATTGCCTGCAGAGACTGCTACTGCCCCGTCTGTTGACAGCTTCAAGAAGAGGTTGGACAGTTACGCAGCTGGGATGCGGACTAGGCTAACGCGACTTACTAACTCGGTACGACCAGCCGTTACTGAATACTTTGTAAAACCACTATCACTGAGAGCTTGGCTCAACCTTGTATCTTTCTGTAGACGTCCCTTCCAGTTACCGTCTCCTACTAAAAGAATTACTATATTCCCATTCATCCTATCATGTTATTTATTATTCTTCCTTCTGACTTTACGCCCTCAAACTTTAACAAAAGCTTTCCCTGTCACCTATTCCCCATGAACCTACCAATGTTCATTCTTCCGTGCCGTTTCCTTTTTCTCAATCTTTTTTAATATATATTATTCTTCCTCCATTTTTCCTTTTCCTTTTCTATTTTGTCTCTCTCTGCACTTTCTCTCCCTTTATTTCTCTGCACTTGTTTTCCGTCTCCTTCTTACAACCACTCCGACCAATTGCCTGTTGGTACGACATTTGAGGAACCCATCTGCATCACAGTCCTCGGAAGAAAAAGCAAGCAAACAAACAACACTCCCTACAGATCTAACCAACACAACCGCTCGTCGGGATAACCAGAGCTACAGTAGCCAAGTGGGCGGACCTACTGCATTGGAATCCACCAAAGACCTGGAACCGTTCCGCAAGACCTAGAAGCGAGCGCGAAGAAATCAATTAGTTTACACAAGCTCGTTAGAAGATATTGGATGTTGAGCATACTGACACACCTACTTACATCCACCTCACCGAGGCTAAAAGCAAGAAAGCAGAGGGGATTCCCTCGTCCACTGCAGCAGTGAACCGAACAACTCGAACCTAGCCCTAAGAACTAGACGCGAGAGATCAAAAACTACAAGTTTTCTACGCTCGCACTATCAATATTGGATTTTGGATATTGCCGCAGGTTTTAAACCTCTAAGTTACCGCAATGACTATCGATACTCTTCCTGAACCTGGATCAACCATAACAGCTTATTGTTCTGATACCTTTATAGAAGGGGATGTTCTATGTGTGGATATTCCTAAAAAGTTGATCGTACTACGTATGCTGTTTTGTTATGCATAGATGTAATCGGTGTTCATATTTTTCAGAGAAAGCATCAAGTGTTGGTCGGCCGGATACTTGTGATGTACTGATCCTACGCGCTGAATATCTTAGGGACCTAAAGAGTATAACAAAAGGGACACCACCGGCCTGTCCTGAATTAAGCATTAATAAGGTCTTTGCACTTAGGAATAACATTTTGGGATTGTTAGATTATTGAACGTATCAAAGTTAATGAACGGATTCAGCAAGAAAAGCTAAAATTTTACAGCCATGATGTTCCCTTGGAGGCACGTGAGCTTGCTGAATACCTCGAGACGTACCTAATCCATATTATTTTTGATGTAACATCTTAGGTTTTTCACCGTAGTTTGGGCTAAACCAAATATTATAGTAATGGATCATACACTCATCAGCCCACCCTATAAGGAGAATAGTGTGTCTTGCAACTCAGAGACGCAACAGGCTAAGTCTCAGACGGAGTATGTACAAAAGATGGTAAGCCTTTTTTCTTGTGTCACTTAATTGTCTTACCATAGGTTAGCCGGTTTTACCAGGAGCGAGTTTTGTGAAACAAAATGAAAACTGATTTCGGTTTACTTTCAGAAAATAAATATGGTAGATCACTCTGTGTTTTGAAATGTCTTTGTGTGTTGATATTCCTATGGGATATTGATCATGAACAATCTTTCAAACCTCAAGGAGTCAACCGCCTATTCAGGCTTTCTTAAAAGCTATTTCTATGTTATGGACGACAATTTTAGTTCTTATACCTTAGGTTTTTACCTACTGAAGCCACTTGCTTTTACTTTCCTCTTGTTATGTACGCACAGGTTATATTTTCGACTTCAAATGTAGTACGTGATGTTGAATACGTAAACTTATGATTGTTTTGGTAATTGTTCTCATATCTTCAGATTCATCTGAACACGAGGTGCATTAAACGAGCTACAGTTGGTACTTTCGATATACGGAATGGTTTACTCGAACTTTTTTTCGCTGGTTTAGTCACCTTAGATTTGATTCACATATCAAGGTCCAGCAAGCCAGTGAATATCGGCGTTTCTCACGTGACGCAGAAGGCTATGGTCCGGTTCCAAAACTTGTTATCTGAATCACTGGATATTTACGGCTTCCAGCAAAACGAAAGTAATATAAGTTTAAAAGCATATTCAAGACAACATTGCGTGAGGTTTGAGTTATCTTTAGTGGCACCGGAGGTTTTTCGCGGGATATAAGTTATGGGTATAATATTGGTCTCCAAAGTCAGGGAGCTTACTCTTCGACAAACATAGTCAGGCTTTGCATCAGGATATCATGAGAAAGTTGTCATTAAAACGGGCTTGTACGTGGCTATAGTGATGCATATTTTATGTGTAGAAACCTCACATCAGCTACTACGTTTATTGCTACTTATTAAAAGTAGCAAAGTTTCGAGGGGTTTTTCACGAAATAAAATAACTACTGTTAATGTTTGGCGTAAGGTTGCTAATATATCGCAACTAAACACAATACTGATGAAGAATAAGAATACTTATCTTTGTCTTATTTTTTTCATACAAAAGAAAAATACTGTTACTGAATCTCTTCATCTTGATTTTCTGTCATATGCGATAAGGTGTGAATCCGTTGAGTTGCCTGTTCATGTAAACTGAAGTAAAAAACCATAATACCAGTAAATGCTAACCAACAGGACTTGTTATTACATTTCTGTACTTCACCTGTTCTTTCACTTGCAGTGTGAGAAAGTAGGTTTTAGGAATATGAATTAGATGTATTGGTTTCACAGAGCTTGCTGTTGTAAGATACGAGGGGCAGGTGAATACCTTCACTGTGCTGGAACATTAGCGTTACTAGTATGTTGTCATAGAATACAGTACGCCAAAGAATTCGGCGGTTGATCATCCTTAGATTAGACATCTAGTCCTCACAAGCATAGTGAACAGCAGGACAGACAGACAGACAGAATCGGCGTGCAACCTCGTACAGAAGTGCATCTGCCCAAGTTACCACACTTCATAGTAGTAAACAAAGAACAGGTGGATAAGAAGGACTGATATTCTAGTATACAAAGTTGTGTGAGATGATAAACAATTTGAAGGTAGCGGTTAGTAAAAATATTCGAGCTTCAAATGTTAAGGAATGAATATATCTGCGCCATTGTGACGGATTTTCAGCCATGTCTCTAAGACTCCTCAACCTCTGACTCCCTTCGTCTCGAAGACCCCAGCCAGGCAGTTTGCATCTCATCACGTGACTCACATCAACAGTCAGGGATTCTATTGACTGGTGCTATGTCTTGGCCTGACCATCATAAACCCTCTTCACACCCAACTCAACTTCTTCCAGCATGGGATGTCGAGAATGGCGGTCGCCTGGCGTGCGTAGTACCTGTCCAAGCCATCTCAGCCGATGAGAATTCACAACCCCACAGACCGACTTGTCTGTCTTGCCTAGTACTCTTCGCGTAACTTCGGCATCACTTAGTTGGTGATTCCATCACGTTCAAGCAGTTACCCAGACACCTATGACTAGACACTTATTAACACTTCCTATCGTTCAACTGTTATGTTTTACAGCCGTATAACAGGACGGAGCGGACTGCAGCGCAATACACTCGTCCTTTAATAGGTAGTCGCGACTCTCACCACTCGGCGCCACAGATGATGCAAGTTAGCAAATGCTGAACTTGCCTTCTGTATCCGGGATGAGATCTCGTCAGCAACCATCCGTTTGGACTGATGTTTCTCCCCAAGTAGGTGGAGTGGTCGGCGCATTCTTTTACTCCACTACCTATCAATAAATGGAGTAGTTGCAGGTCAGTCCTGAAGTGTCATCTTACGTTTGACAGGTGTAAGATGCATTCCAAACATACTCATTTATCCTCAAGGCATCCAGAAAACCGTGCACTTTCTCAGCATCTCCACCCAGCAGGACAATATCGTCTGCATACTGCATGTCAACCAGATGGCCTCTAGGGGGTAGGTCAATCCCTGTAAAGTCACAGATAACTGAGGTTATGTCAGTTAGTATGTCTGTGACGAAGTTAAATAAGAACAGTGATGGTGAGCATCTCTAACGGGGACCACTGGTGGTCAGTTCACATGACAACTCTCTACAAGTCATGACATGGGTGCCCGAATCTGAGTAGAGAGCTCCGATTAGCGCCATGTACCTGCTCAGTACCCTCTTCAAAGTCAGACACTGCTACAACACCTCACGGTTGATAGAGTCAAATGACACCTTTAGATCAAGAAGTATGGGAAGTGTCAGCCGTTTGGCTCTAGGTACGTCTGTTTCAGAACCTGTTGGAGGACAAAAACATGATCGATGTACCTCGTCCAGGTCTGAAATCTGCCTGGTCTCGGGTTTGCTATCCTCGAGCTCCAGTTAAGCGTCGAATACCTATTAACCCTGGGGTCTTAGACATGGTATCAACCAAACTAATTCCCCTATGGTTGTCACAAGAAGGTTCTCCCTTCTTGTCAACTGGGACGATCTGTGAAATAGACTAGTCTGACGGGACTACCTCTGATTCCCACACTCTACCTAGTACGTCCGTCAATTCTATCAGCAATTTCCTACCTCCATCTTTGAAAACTTCTGGTGGCAAGTGTCATGTCCTGTTGCTTTACATCGTTCCAGGTTCGATACCAGCTTCTCGACTTCAAGAACAGCTAGAGAACCAACATATGCGTCCCATTGAGGTTCAAGCTGGATGTTAGGCCATTAAAGCGTTGCTGTAGGTCAGCTGAACTATGCTTCACATCGTTCCATCCAGAGTTGTAGCCGCCTGTCCTGGGATGTTATACCAGCATCCCGTCATTTTCGGTGATGGTTTCACTAGCCATCGTTTTCTTGCTAGTATCCTTAATAAGCTTAAATGGTCGCGGGGTGCTACCTGACTCTGATGCCTTCTCCATCTCTATCGCTTTCTCCACTCACCACTGCTCGCGATCAACGCGAAGACTCTTGGTCAGTTTACACTGAAGTTGCTTTCGCTCTTTAACGTGGTCAGTTGGGAAACCACTGAAAACGTGGGAGCACTGAGCAGCTGTTTCATCCTAGTGTGAGACTCAGCAGTACGCACCCACAACCCGGCTAGGACCCTAACTCAGGACCTTCAGGTTTCACAGCGAACGCGTTAACCATTCAGCCACTGAGTCAGAGTCCAGTGGTTCAGTTTCCAACTTCTGTCAACTCACGATATAGCGCCAACAGTCGGAAGGGAAGTGGGTGCCAGCTGAAGACCTTGGGTAATAGTCGCGCTATATCGTGAGTTGGCAGAAGTTGGAAACTGAACCACTGGACTCTGACTCAGTGGCTGAATGGTTAACGCGTTCGCCGTGAAACCTGAAGATCCTGAGTTAGGGTCCTAGCCGGGTTGTGGATGCGTACTGCTGAGGAGTCCCATAATAGGACGAAACAGCTTTCCAGTGCTCCCACGTTTTCAATGATTACCCAACAGATGTCAGTCCGTGATGAATACTACCTCTAACTTAAAATCCCCATGATATGTACATAATCATGTAGTACATCTTTTTGTTCGATTTCAAACTGAAACTCATTCAGCAACCTTGTGCACTTTCTTGTAGTAGCCATTGAATCTTACTCATTAGTGGAAAGTCTTATTATTCAATTTTGTTTGAATTGTTTTTTTTTCAACGTGATTATCATTCATTGTGAGTCGATGCATACAATGTGTAGATGTAAGCTAGGGTATGTTAATTGTTTTTCAGATACGAACTTTGCGAGATGACAGAGGTTACAGGTGTTATGATAGTCAGTACATAAAGAATATGTATTTTACGTATGTTTTTGAGATGAAAATAGGAAGATACGCACGTCATATTTACCTGTAGGTAAAGCACCGAGTGAACCGATATTGACAATTTTCGGATTCCAGCGTTTTCTAATGCAGCCAACTAAACAATGATGATGAAACGACACTGCCAAGAGTCATAACACGTTTATTATAGACGATAATGATGATACAAGTAGTGCAAACAGGACCGATTATTGTTTCCAGAAGTTTTAAAACAGCGTGAGCTTTTCAACTCGCTAATGGAGTTCCAGTTTTCCCATTTATCATCGTACATTTTTAAAGATATCACCTAATGCTAAGACGTGCATATAATGTACAGTGATTAAGTGATCTTATCTGCATTGCTACGTAGGTTTTGGAAATTTCGAAATTCTCTGCTGTGGTCTTGAAAATTGGCTGTAGCTCTAATCGTTGAAATGCATCCTGTTAAAATAAGAAATAAGAAATAAAAAATGTGAAGAGGTTGGAAGGAGTCTAGAAGTTGTTGCTTAGATGAATTGAAACAGTCATGTCACTGTAGACTACATACAGTACTCCAGAAAGTTGCGTAGAGCTGAGTGATGGCTATATGGAGGTAATAACAATAATGATAATCTGAAATCGTCCATTTGTACGCATCATGACTAAGTTTGAATAACGAGTTGCGAAACATGACAAAATGTTTGGTGAATGAATTGTTATCAGGGTGGGTATAAAGCTAAGGAATAGTCGATAATATGTAAGAAATGAATGGAGTGAAACAGTCAAAAGGGGAATACATTTTGAAACGCTGAAGATTAAGATCATGGAAGGAGCAAGGGTTGAACAAATTTCTTCGTATTCCATTCTCCGACTTTTCTGTCTGAATTACTAACGCTTCAACAATACAAAGGATGCGCACTGACTTTGGGAAGTTCCTCTTCTCTTAGAAAATAACTTTGAAAGAGGCAGCTGTTGAAACTGAATGACCAACTTCAACTAGGTGTCCCATTATTACACTTCTTGTAGATCCGTTTTTACCTTTTTGTAGCCACCTGAGGTAGTGTTCTTGAACCGTCTGGGGTACGACACGCGTCGAATGACTGATACACCCGGCTCCACAGGAGCAGGTAGACTGATATACACACAGGCGGTCAGATGCAGAATCTTGCCTTTCAAGCTTTCGCTAAGTAAAGGGTGACTTGGGAACCCTATTCTGGCAGTTGCTGTAAAGAAAGTTCTATTCAGGAAGATTGAAATCCTCTTTAGGATGCCAGAGACTAGATCACCTTTGAAGTCAAGGTTTTCTGAATTCTGGGACATAGGAAATGAATGAGATTAAAGTCGATGGATTGCTCTGTCAAGGTTGGTTTGTAAAAAAAAATTATCCCTACCCTCTTAAAATTGCATCTAGGAAGTGAAACTGTGAAGTTAATTCTTCGATAGTGAATTTTGTAGATGTGTGACAATCACTGAATCGTCTAAGCAGTTCATCACAAATAAGAAAACTATCGTCTATGTAACTTGAATGCAGATAACGTTCTGAGATTATTTTTTGGCAGTCCATTTTCGATACTTGCTGTGAAGATATCAGCCAAGACACGGCCTATTGAGGACCCCATTGCAACTCTATCTGTTTGATTATACATTATATTACATTTGAACTGTACATTAAAAGTACACCTTCAATATCAACTCTTTTAAGTCTCTCGTCAGTAGGTTAGTGTTATTATTATTAGACTGAATTTAATTTCATAGATGACAATCAAATATTTAATGAGATGTTTGGCTACTTGCTGTAATTTAGGTAAACTATAGACATACTATTCATGTAAACTTTCGAGACTGATCGGAAAGGGGTACATTGAATTCTTTTCGAGACCACAACATTAATCTCTCTATAGTTGCAGCATATTCGGGAGATGCTTCTAGAACATCTAGTATCGACCACATGAAGTCCTCTTATACCTTCCGTTTTTAACGGTCTTATATCACAGCTGTATGGTTAGGGGATTGCTATGCAGCATACCCACAGTTTGGTGAGTGATGGGATATTCCTCAACAAAAGGTCTCATGTTAGCAAATGCCGAGTGATAAATTTGTGTATAAGCTGAGATTTCATCAGAAAGTACACATTTAACATTGTTTCAACTTTTCAAATGAATTATCAGTGTACTAAAGCAACTTCACTCTTTATCCTTAAATTGAATACTTGTGCAAGCCTATCTTAGAAGATTGTCTTATATTTGAGAGTATGTGGTAGGTACTAAACACTCAGATTTCCCCTCAACGTAGTCAGCAAACTTTGCTTTTTCAGAGTTTTCTCACCTAACAAATGACCAAGCATTTCTGCTTGAGTCTCTTGCCCCGAGTCTGGCAAACGATCTTTGAAAAAGTCAACAAATGTCATTACCTGTGATATCGGTACACGAAAGTGGAGAAAGGGTTCTTATGATGAGGTGAGCTAAATGTGTGCAAAAAATCTAAAGATTGCTGTTGTTTTTCCGAATAATTTACCATTTCATACATTAAGAAAAGTATTTAGCTGACATAGATGTACTACTTATAAAATAAAAGTAACAAGTGCGCATATCCATTCTAAAGTTTTGGTGTATGATTACTGTGTGTGGTTACTGAGATCGTGAAGTAAATAGATTTCCTTCAAAGACCAATCAGAGTTAATCTTGATAGTTTATAGAGAACCATAAGGTAAAGATGATTCTTCTAGGGGGAGAACTTTTGTTGATGCTTGCGCAGTTATGAAGTTACATACTTATGGCATGAACTATTTTATTGAATGAAGGCAGGTTATAAATTTGTACAAATTAAAAGCATGCAATTAGGTATATGGTTATTTGAATTCCTAGGAAAGGTTAGAAGAAAGCTGCCGAAGGTTAATATGTGATAAATTGTACTTCATTAACATCTGTGAGTATGAATATTTATTCGCACAAGTGGTGTTTACATACTGGCTTATTAAGAAAGACATGTTCAACAGCTTATTTTCAGTCAGTCGCTTTGCTTATATTTCACAGTATTTCAAGAAATTAGTACATGGTATCTGCTAGTTTGTGTCCTAGTCAGCTATTTGATGGAAAGTTTACATCACTTTTCTTTAAGTTAGGTAATTCAAATACTATGCGTACGTGGAATCTTTGTCTACTGATGTGAAAGTTGTAATATGTGAAACAGCGTTCTATGGGATGGTTACGTTTCATCAACAAGAGTATACACTTGAAGGTTTGTCATCTTGAAGTAATATTGAGATGAAGATAATAATTCCCCTTCACATAGCTCAGTACACTGGAAATCTATATATGCTCATCCTCTTTAGCTTGGAAAGAAATGTTATTTTTCCTCTTGATAATGGATACAAACTATTTTTTATGATAAAATGGTCAAAAGTGAGTTAGAAGGCTTTCAAAGTACAGTTATATAAATTGCTTACTCTTTAAGACTCAGTCAAAAAGTATGAGACAGGCGTTGCTTTGCCTTACTGACATATAGTCTTTAATTGGTCAGTTGTATATTTGGATTTTAGGGTCTCACTTGATCTGTCCTACTAGCACATCAACTGTTTAGATCTTTCGAAAAAAGAATTCTACCATTTACGTCTGTTGGTTTCCTTTTCAAGAATTGGATTTTTTCACTAATCTTTGACAGAAAGCCATGGGTTTAATTCATTTTTGTACATATCCTCTTCTCACCTAAATGTTTGCCGTCAGCTACATTGATAAGGCTTATTAATACTCTTGTCTAAGTCTGTGTTTTCATAACTGATTGGGGAAATTAGTGAGTGTTTGGTAACAAAAGCATCCCCACGTTAGTTACTATACAGTGCTTACCAAACTCTTCAGTATGTTACTTTCGAAGTGAGTGCCAATTTATGAAACTGCGTAGTTATTGCAACTTAGTGAAAATAATAAAAAAAACATTTCTGATAGATGAAAAACTCAGGCAATCTTTATCTCATTCCCTTCTGTTTGCACATAGTGTCCTCTGGATAGAGATATCCTGTCACCAGACAACATTTTCAAAACTTCCTTTACATGCGAAGAATGCTCAATTTGTATGGGTTGGAAAGTTCTATCATTCAAATAAAACTTTCTCTCAGTAAAATGTTCATCTTAATTTTGTCACTAATTATATCATTAAATAATCAGTTGAAAATATACACAGCTGTGAGCTACACTTTAAGTTTCATGATTCGCAGCATGCTTTCTTAAACATGAGTACTTGGACTGAATTTATAGTGCTCCACAAGTGTTGAGAATAGAGCTGTACAACACTGAGTCAAAGCATATTCTGAAATACTTTTTATACTCATAAATTCTGAATAAATGAATCAAGTGGTGCATTCAGTTGTGTCTAGCAGAGGGATATATAGAAGCCGAGTTTTATCCAGATACCAGTTGATGAGTTCTAAGTTTGGTGAAATGTGCGCTTCTGACCACTTAAAAGTAAACAGTCTACATATGAATACAGTTAGAATGAAATCACTCATAAAAAAAGCCGGTATACCAATACAAACTAATCAATTCAGTTATACAGATGAACAATGAGGGGAAGAACAATAATGTACATTAAATTCCTTTCAATTGATTTCCTAGTTACTTTTCGTAGCTTTTATACTGTTGCTAAACTTGAAAGAAGCTTTTTAATTGTTAAGGTTGTATGTCCTATTTTGAAAAATTTCACATAAACTAATTTAACTGTTTTGCATTTTCTACATATTGTAGTTGTTGTTTTACTTTTCGTAATAAAATTCATAATTGTCAACTTTTTGTGTTTAATTCATGCAATTAAGCATGACGTATAATCATAGAAAATCTACAAATCACTATATCTTGATAAAATTAGTTCAGAGTGATTTGATTTCCTTAAGGGAAGTTGAATAAAAGAGATATTTCATATTCCACTTGTGAATAGTACTTTGAACTGTCGGTATACAGGGTCTAGTTAAAAATGTAATGAAAAACTAGATTGATCATCATAACCTTAAAAGCTTTATTTGTTTCATATTGACTAGGAAACAGTTTAGTCATTCACAAATATAACGCTGATTAAGTCATTGTGTTTGAATGTATATATTCGGTTGTTATGGTGGGAGAATTTAGTTAACCAGTCAGTCTTAGTATGAACAGTATGATTGAAAAAAATCAGTTTTAAGGTGAAATAGTTTGGTTTGTGATTAGGTGGTTGAGAGTCATCGGTAGGAAACCCTTAGACTTGATTTCATGCTAATGAGCATTCATCAGTAGTGCATATCTCCAACCTAAAGAGAACTGATATTTTCTCTAATATTTTAAACCGTATCATCTAAGTCTATGGTTATCCTTCATCTGCTTGATTTCAAACTGTACTAGGTGTAGAAAAAAAGTAAAAAGTATGAGTTTGATAGTAGGCTTAAATGATAGATTGAATTGAAGTCAACAGTTGGGTCTCGTAGCTAAGTAGCTAGAGTACAAGATCGGTAATTTGAAGATTGTTGATTCAAATCCTGCCATGGCCAAGATTTTGATTTCATCTTCAAGCATCACACAATATCAATAAAAGTTCACCAAATCACAGCTGTCTCAGATAATCAAACTGGTAATGATAGGAAAGTTGTATCCATTCTTCAAATCATGCTTTTCTCAATTGAATAATACAATTCTTTTTTCTTTTAATCAGTGCAACTCACCAATCAGAATTGAAATCGTTTTTTTTTCTCAACCAATAAAATTAGTTATAGTCTGTTGTATAAATAATTTTACAAATGTCATGAAAAGTGAATATTTGAATGTGACATATTGTATACTTACTCATAGATTCATTTTTCTAATATACATTTTTATGATAATATATCACTCAGATATATTGAAATGTTGATATCAATCTATAATGTAAAAGATTGTTTAGAATCGTTGACAAATGAAGAGATTATGGTGTATAGATTTCGTGCTTATTTATCTCCACTACTTGCATTGATTGGTATACCAGCGAATATTTTAGTTATTTTAATATTTAGTATATTAGAAAGAAAAGAATCATGCCGTTTTAATCTTTATGCTATATGGATGGCATTTGCACAATTAGTTCAACATATTCTTAATACATTGATTGATGATTTTTTAGGTCGTGGATTAAAATGGGCAACTGGTTGTCGTTTATGGTATCAAGTGGATACATATTCATCATTCACATGTAAAACATTAACTTATCTATCTGATGTGTTTGCATTGAATACATCCTTTATTCTAATATTGTTCAGCATTGATCGTGTATGTTCAATCTATATTCCAAAACGTTGTGAACAAACATTACATTTAGGTATTGCTAAATTATGTATATGTATTATTTATATAATCAGTTTACTATTGAATATACCACATTTAATATATGCAGATTTAAAATATGATTCAGATAATGAAATCAATTGTCAGTATGTTGATCCAATTGCTGCTGGAGTGAAATATGTTTTATACCTTTATATTACTGGTGTAACATTATTACCAGCTTTATTGATTTTTATAACGAATATTTTAATTTCTTATCAATTGAAATCAACTATTAAACGCTCTAAATTGATTGGTTATCATGATAAACATTCATATAATGAATTAAGTAAAGTGATTACTCATTTAGCTATAAGTATTATGTTTACTTGTCTATCTATGCCATTGGTTATTGTAGTGATATTACGACAAGAAGTACATTTTAATAATTTTGAAATAGATTATCCAAATTATGCTTCAAAAATTATACAATTATCAAAATTATTTAGTTCATTAGAATCTTTCAATAATACTTTTGAATTTTTTCTCTATTGGGCTTTTTTACCAGTGTTTAGGAAAACATTGCATAGGATAGTATCAAAGCATTGTTTATCAATTTTATGTAATTGTAAGAAGATGAATCATGATGATAAGAATTTAAATGAGAGGAAAAATACTCTAACTAATAATAGTATCATTCATATTAAAGATAACCAAACTTATAATATTCACGATAATAGTAACAATCTGTTATACGATTGTAAGTCATCAGATTTGCTACATTACTCATGTTTACATTCCCCTTTAAGATATTCTCATCTATGTCATCACGAAAATTATCCTCATTCTTACTTTCATCAGCATTATTGTCATCATGATCATCATCGAAAACGTCACCAAAAACGGCTTTATCAAACGGAATATAGTAAACAACTGAGTTTTCATTGTATGGATACATTGTGTAATCACCATGCGAAAAATTGTAAGACAAACCAGAGGACACTTTCAAAGCATGCTAAATTTATGCTTGTAAGTAATTTATGATGTTTATCATTGGTTTGTCACTTGAATTTTCTCCCAATTAATTCCAGGTAATTATTTATTAAAGAGTCGTTGAACAGATTTACTGAAAAAAATGTTTTTTTTTTATATCGTAGAAGCTGGAACATGTACGTGTATGTGATAGGTGAATGCTTCTGTGTACATTCTTTGAATAAATCTTCTATAACCAGTATAAAATCTTCATTTCTAGATGTCTATATGTCATAAGAAGGTTGTTCAATTATTTTATTAACTTTGTTGTTGTTTTTAAACTGTCATCAGGTACTAGGGATCGAATTTTCTGGTTTTTCTGATATTCTTCTTGTTATAGGTTGAAAAACAGTTTGAATTATTCAACTTTTGACTTAGTTATTTTTTATATGCAATGTTTTGTTCTGTATACCTCCCACATCTTTTAATTTTTCAATACCATTATTATTGTTATTACCGATGCCCATGTTATTAAAGTGTTAACTTCCTTTTCATATTATTGGTTTGAATGAAAGAACACTATATCATTGTTGTTGTTACTTTCGTTGAAATTACTTTTCGCACGTATCATTTCTTTTGGAAGATCGCTAATAATCGGGAGAAAAAAGTTTTTGATTGTTTGGATAATTTTCACTTCGCGGTAGTGTTATAGTATGCAGACAGCCAAATTAGTATCACTTAGAAAGACGAATTTTTAGTTTGCCATCGCATATGTTTCTTTTACTGGTGACAATAATGTCTGGGAAACTATAATCCAACTGGAGAAATATTACTTCTCAATTAGCTTCCCTTTATGGGCTCTAAACTAATATTTGAAGTTTCTAAACAATTCAACACCACATATGAATCTAGTTGTGAAGAGTTAGTTAACGAAAGACTATCATTTTCTCAATATGAAGGGTATAACAGATTTTCAAGCAAACTAATTTTAAACTACTGTCAACAAGTTTATGGATATACTTGTAATTCTCTATTGTTTTAACTAGATCGAATTGTTCGTTCTGTATTGGCATATGGGCTCCTATGCGGATGCCTTGATATTGCCTGAATGTTAGTTGCGGTAATTTACTTGGTTGTGACTGGCAGAAAAATTCAGGACGCACGTTTCATCCTACTTGGGACTCGTCGGCTGGATGTATCTGCACCCCAGTGGGTGATGCTGTTCTCGCTGAAACTCAAACCTCCCACCCATCTCTTCGAACGCCAAAGCGTTATCCACTAGGCCACGGAGGCACAGTAGCCATCCTCTGTACAACGGGTATTAGTTATTACTATTTATGGATATGCTTGTAATTCTCAGTCTAGAAAACAAGCCTTTGGTTGCATACTTTTGGTACATAAAATGTATATATGGAAAATACTGGTATTTTTTTGCAATGCGAATATCGAGTTTATGTACGAGAAATAGGACATATTTATGCAATACATTTTGAAAAACCTGGTGACATTGACTAATCAAGATGCTTTGTACGTAAAACTGAAAAACAAAATATTTGGTGATCAGGAATGGAATACGAAGATAATCATGAAAAAAATTTTTATTTCACTCTTGATATACAAATTTGACGAAGATTACCCTAGTGCGTTAAGTGTTAGAATGAATAGTTTTTAAACACACATGATGATGGCTAGAACTGCAATGAATCACGCTACCATACACTGTGAAATCGAACGAGGTTATCTTCAAATGATGCCTAAACCTACCATCGGTAAAGCATACTGTCCAGTTAATCTTATAATTGCTAAGAAAACAAAACGTGTACTTCAGTATAATCCCCAACATCGTGATAATGATTACTTAACATCCCGTTGTATGTATTGGTTCACATGTGTGTGTTTATGCAAAGAAACTGAGGAGTAGTTGAGCTATACAGTTAAAGATGATGTAGCACATGCAAAAGTGGCAGCAAAAGGCATGTGCACTATTTACCTTCGAATATTATCGGAATAACTCGCGCTAAATAAGATTAAAGTTTTTGCTCCTACATACAGGAAGTGCCGTCAACATAATATTCAGTAGATTGACTTTAAAGTTGTCTTAAGTTTCTCTTATGAAATATTTCATCCACGTTTTCCAAACGAGAGCTACGAAGAAGCTTATTCAGCCGACCAAGGGATTGTAAAGCCAATATTTGGCCAAAAATTTCCAAGCAGCCTACAATTTAGGTTCACAACTGTTATAGTTTCTAACTAGACATAACCCAACTTACAGTACTGCTTCTAAATGTGAGATTTGAAACGTGCAAATCATAGGAACACAGACGTCTGAGTCGGAAATCCAGTGCTCGCTTTTGATCTTAAACCTCACTGACTGCTGCCTTCGATATAACAGCAGAAGGTATACCCATAAATGCAGTTTACAGAAAAAATGTAGAAAGGCTATTGATACACTTGTAATGCACGACAATTTAATGGTCACCCAATCTAGTGAAAGAAAAGGATTAATACTACTTGGCAAAGTTGACTATATTGACGAGGTGAAATGTTAATTAATATTCAAAAACTGGATAACCGAACGAAAATGACATAACTAAATAGAAATTGAGGAAACTTAAAAAATGAGAGACAATATCTTCAACCTGACATGGTGTGGTCAAACATACGGGTAGATGCATGTAAAGACTATTTAGCCCGCTTAAAATAAATGAACCAGGAGTACAAATAAGGCTAATCTTAGTTAAATGAAACTAACCCTACCACTCTCGATCACGGTGGCAGATAACTGCTTTGAAACCTTTACATGAAGAGATAGCTATATATATACCACTAATAGAAACGGTCAAATACATTTGTGAGCAGGTGAATAAGAACACAAACTATTGGAGTTGAAGTGGATACCCTTAAAGAATTACTAATTAGAAGTACGATTAATGTTTGTTTCAAATTTAATGGGGTACTCTATGGACGGATGGTTGGGGTCACGATGGGCTTGGCACTGGGTTCTTTATAGGTAAGTATTTTATCAACTGTATTCATAGTTTTTGAATTAAGGTACATGGTTTCGACTCTAGTTATACACAGTAATGAGGGATAGTAGCTAGCAGTGGAACCCCGGACACATGTCTTGTCCGATTTAGGACTTGTTAACCATATGTAGCTGTCCTAGAATGAGTATTGTTCCCAGTGAGACTTGAACCTAGTGTTGATCACTTTAGACGCTGGAGCGTTATTTACTAAGCTGCTGAGTCATTTCGGTTCAATGTGCAACGAGTAACTAACTGCATAGTTTAGCATCAAGCTATATCTGTGGCAGAGAGATTGGCTTTATTATGCCTAGTGGGTAGCGATCCTGTGTTTTTATCGATGGGTGCTGAGTTTAAGTATCAGTGGAATCAAAATCACTTACTGAGGAGCAAAACCATCCAGCTGATGGGCCACAAATGGGATGGGACATGCGTTCTGGATTCTTCTGTTAGTTACTACCTCTAATTAATATTGAAACAGAAACCACCGGTATTAATACGGCATCTGTTCAGGAGTCCGTGTGCTAACGGTGACCGATCAGTTTGGCGCAGTCAACGACTGGAAACCACTAGCTATAACATAGTATTTATGGGCAGTTTTAGTTGGTGAGTAGTTGTTTGTAATCAGCACCTTATGAACACTATCCAGAATAGTTAGTGAAGGGAGAACGGAAAGATGTCTTCAGCTTGGTAACAGAATACTTATTACACTTAGAAAGCTTGATTGTTATTTAGGGAATCTACGATTTTTCACAAAGTGTGAACCAGCTGTTGAAAACAATGAAAATAGGAAATATATACATCGTTAAAATAAAGAGAATTAAAAAGCCCGAACCATCACTATACACCTAAGAGAAGTGCACAGAACTTCTTTCTTTGTCATGACAATCGTAAAAGATTGCTAATATTCATCTTGCGGTACAAATATATGTTTTCCAATTTTAAACTCTTTTAAAACTTAACTCTTCTGTTGTGCAGGGTTTCTTGATCCTTGACTAGGAGTTATTTTGGAATACATGATCTTTCAAACACATTCCCACTAATTTATATTTAAGAGAGTAAGTACGTTCAGAAGAAGGTTCTTTTTCCTCGCTTAAACCATTTCCGTTCATTTTTCCTAAGTTTAATACATTTGTTCATTGTCGACTTTTATTCCCAGCTATTCATGATATAAGAAATATTGGGGACCATAGATTGCTATGCAGTATTTTTGTGATATTATGCAGGCATGTTACCAGTTTGAATACTTGGTGAAGCTGAGCTGAAAGCCTTCAGAGTATGGTGGCGTATACTGTAACGAAACTTCTCCGCCGTATGGTTACTTTATTTATTGCCTAACCAAGGAAGGAACCTTGGATGAAAACATTATGATAAATGGTTGTTGATACTTTTTATTTCCCGTTGCAATTCTGCATCAAATTGATCAACCGCTCTTGGCATATGTGCTCCCACTCAGAAGCCTTGATATTACCTAGTTATTCATTATCCTGAAATTCGTTTGGTGGTGGCTAGCGGTCGAATCCAGAACGCACATTTCACACTATTCGAGACTCGTCAGATGGATGTACCTGGACAGCAGTGAGTGATTTTCTCCTCACTGAGGCTTTAACCCGGTATCCATAGCTTTAAAAGCGAAAGCGTTGATCAATTCGACCCAGAGCAGAAACGAGAAATTACAAGTATCGACAGATAAGGATAAGTGTTGCCCATTGCACAAGAGGTAGCTGTTGTGGCTGAATGACTTAATGGATAGCACTCTGACGCT